AGCCAGGCGTTACTTCTACGACAATTCGTTCTTTCTTTGGAAGGATGGGCAGCGGATTGGTACTTCAGCCTGCCACCTAATTCAATCCCAGATTGGGACACCATGGCTGATCGATTCTATAGGACATTTTATAAACCATGGCCAATAGAAATTGAGATGTCAGAACATTTGGATGATGAAGGTATATCTTCTCAAACATATGATTTCATAGAAGGCACAATTGAGGAGAAGATTGAAACTGCCCTTGACCTTCGAGAGATGGGCACTTATCGCCCAAGGGATTTGTTTCCTTTATGGGTAGAGCAAACACCATTTCCTGAAGGATACGAACTTCCAAATTTTGTCCTATATGAGGGGTATGGAGATCTTCAAAAACATGTTAGACATTTTTTGAAACAGTGTGGGGAAACAGCTCAAAATGAAGCACTTTGCCTAAAACAATTCCCCCTTTCCTTAGAGGGGATCGCCTTTGACTGGTATTGCTCCCTCGATGGAGTCATGGTGCCTAGTTGGGAGGCCATGAAGAATGGTTTTGAAGAATCTCAATGCTTTTATAGGCGTGACTCCCGGTACCTAAGAAATGGGAGAAGAGTGCAGCTCCAAGAAGATGGAGAAGTGACTGATGATGATGATCACCCTGCAGCTGGACCAGTTAACATGGTCCAAATAAGTGAGGGAATAACAGAAGTTGAGGTCAACGAAAAGGCGGTTGCTGAAGTATGCCAGACTTATTTGACCTACTGGAGAAAATTTCGAAATCCTCAAGACCCTCAAACGTCAGAAGTTCCACAAGTTTTGCTGGAGGAGGAACAAGTGAAATATGATGTGCTAGCTCATCTAAAGAAAATTCCAGCATTGTTGAGTGTATATGATGCACTGAAAATGTCTCCAGAGCTTCGAAAGTCTCTAATATATGCCCTGTCCAAGCCAGAGGATTTCCACAAAGAAATCGATGGTAGAAATCAAGAGAAGGCAACTACATGCATGGCCATGGTAACCTTTGGTGACAAAGACATGTGTGCTGAAATGACAGACCATAATCGGCCTTTGTTTATTACTGGGCTTATCCATGATGTGAAAATTTCTCGAATTCTCGTTGATGGAGGATCTGCGGTGAACCTTCTGCCTCGGAGGGCCTTAAATTTATTAGGGGTTCGAATTTCACAACTTCGCCCAAGTCGTTTGGTCATTCAAGGATTTAATCAGAATGAGCAACGCCCAATGGGGAAAATTGAATTACAAACCAAGTTTGGGGATATTGAAGAAAGCACTGAGTTCTTGGTTATTGATGTAGACACCTCTTACAATGCTTTGCTTGGGAGACCATGGATGCATAATCATCATGCAGTGCCATCAACTTATCACCAATGTATTAAGTACCCGTTGCCTTCACCCAAAAAAGAGGGGATAATTGTGGCTGACAATGATCCATTTGGAGAAGTAGAGGCCTACTATGCTGATGCTCGCTTCTATACAAAGACTTCACAAAGAAAGGGAAAAGATGTGAAGAAGTCTGAAGATACTCCGAATGTCAAAGACGCTCTAGAGTCTACTCCAGTTTCAACAAAAAGAACTTTTCGATATGTGCCAAAGTCCGAAAGGAAACTGGGGGCAAAGGCTCTAGCCCCAATAAATCCAATTTTGGATCTCAAGGGTAAGTTCACGTTGCCATTAAGGAGGACAGAATGCACCTACGTGGAAAAATATAATAAGATTGTGATCCCTTCTAAAGGAAAAGGGTCGAAACCCATCATATTCCACTCGCTTGGAGATGTTGAACAGAAAGTGAAAGTTGAACAAATGCCAGAAGAAAACATCTCGAGTTTTGAGAAGCCTACCTTCAGTGCAGAAATCACACAGATGTTGGTAAAAGTTGGTTTAGATCCTGAAAAAATACCAGGAACAATGACACCCTTTGACTTTGCATTAACACCTTCACAGAAGCAGGCTATCCAACAAGGCGGTATTATCACCGCCAGGACAGAGGGGTTAGGATATCAGGGGAATGAGGAAAAATTTCCAGTAAACATGACTATCACTCAAGATGTGTTGGAAGATGTTGACCAAGATGAAGCTCAACCTGCACCAACAGAATTTGAAGCAGGAGGCCAAGCCACCGTGGATGACCTTCGTGAAATAAATCTGGGTGATGAAGGAGAAAACAAACCAACCTTCATTAGTGCAAATTTAAAGGAAGAAGAAGCTCGGCAATATATTTCATTTTTAAGGGAGTATCCTGACATATTTGCATGGAACTACAGTGAGATGCCTGGTCTTAATCCAGAGATTGCAGTCCATAAGCTTGCAATTCACCCTGAGAAACGGCCAGTTAAACAGCCTCAAAGGCGAATTCGACCAGAGCTTACAGCCCAAATTGAAGCCGAAGTCGACAAGTTTATCAATGCAGGATTCATCAGAGAAGTCAAATATCCAACCTGGCTAGCAAACATAGTGCCAGTCAAGAAAAAGAATGGTCAAATCAGGGTTTGCATTGATTTCCGTGATCTTAATGAGGCTTGTCCTAAAGATGACTTTCCTTTGCCCATCACTGAACTTCTTGTAGATGCAACTACTGGGTATGAAACCTTGTCTTTTATGGATGGATACTCAGGATACAATCAAATCCGAATGGCACCTAAAGATGAAGAAATGACTGCATTCAGGACTCCGAGAGGAGTCTTTTGCTATAAGGTAATGCCTTTTGGCCTGAAAAATGCTGGGGCCACGTATCAAAGGGCGATGAGTATAATTTTTGGTGATATGCTCCATGACACCATCGAATGCTATGTTGATGATCTCGTCGTCAAGACAAAGGAAAAGGAAAACCATGTGGAAGATTTGAGAAAAATCTTCGAACGTTTGAGGAGGTACAAACTCAAGATGAACCCACTAAAATGTGCATTTGGAGTTTCATCAGGAAAATTTCTTGGGTTTGTGGTTCGAAACAAAGGGATTGAAATTGACCCTACCAAGATTAAAGCTATTGCCGAAATGCCTCCTCCACGAAATTTAAGGGAATTGAAGGGGCTACAAGGGAGATTGGTCTATATCAGAAGATTTATTTCTAACTTGGCTGGTCGATGTTCGCCGTTCTCAAGATTGATGAAAAAGGGTGTTCTATTTGAATGGGATCAGCAATGCCAAAATGCTTTTAATAGTATTAAGGAGTATCTTTTGAAGCCTCCAGTACTTATGAGCCCAATAAAAGGAAAACCACTTTTGTTGTACATAACAGCCTTGGATGGTTCGTTAGGGGCATTGTTGGCACAACATAATGAGCATGGGAAAGAAAATGCCTTGTATTACTTGAGTCGTACTTTGGTTGGGGCAGAAGTCAATTACTCCCCTATCGAAAAGACATGTCTTGCCTTGGTGTTCGCCTTGCAAAAACTAAAGCACTATGTCTTGGAACACGAAGTCAAGTTGATATCAAGAGCAGACCCCTTGAAATATATACTTTCACGGCCCATGCTTTCAGGGAAAATTGTAAAGTGGGCTGTAATTCTCCAACAATTCGCAATTGAATATGTTCCCCAAAGAGCTGTAAAGGGGCAGGCTCTAGCAAATTTTTTGGCAGCACATCCTATACCTGATGACTCACCTATAGTAACTGATTTACCAGATGAAGAGGTTATGCAAGTAGAAATTCAGAAAGGATGGGAGATGTATTTTGATGGAGCTTCAAGGAGTCCAGATGGCAAAAAGCAAGAAAATCCTAAAAACAATAAAGCTGGAATTGGAATTGTGTTTGAGACTCCAGACAATGCTATAATCACCCATTCTTTCGCCTTAAGTGAGGGATGCTCCAATAATGAGGCAGAATATGAAGCTGTAATTGCTGGATTAGAATTGGCATTACAAATTCCTATTGAAGAACTCTCAATTTATGGAGATTCGGAACTGGTGGTAAAGCAACTCCATGGAGAATACATTGTTAAGAAAACAAGTCTCATCCCGTATCACGAAAGGGCTGATCAATTGCTTTCGCAATTCAGAAAAACACATATTTTCCATGTGAAGAGAAGAACAAATGCTCGAGCTGATTCACTTGCAAGTTTGGCTGCATCACTCACCCTACCAGATAGCAAAACAATTACTATCACGGTAGGTGAAAGAAGGGTGTTACAACCTTTAAAAGAGGTTTCTGACTTGGTTCCAATCTTGGTTGTCACCACGAAAGGAGAAAACGAAGAGGATTGGCGGGAACCATTCATAGCTTACCTCCAACATGGTAGGCTACCTGAAGATAAAGTAAAAAGAATTGAAGTGAGACGCAGGGCTACCAAATTCGTCCTGTGGAAAGATGGAACGTTATACAAAAGGTCTTTGGATGGAATGTTCATGCGGTGTATAGCCAAGGAGCGTATTGAAGAGGTAATGGCAGAAATACATGCAGGTGTATGTGGGGCACACCAAAGTGGTCCTAAATTCCATATACAGCTAAAACGGTTGGGATACTATTGGCCGACTATGATTGCAGATTGCATAAATTATGCTCAAAGATGCCAAGTCTGCCAATTCTATGGGAACTTTCTCCACCAACCCCCAGAGCCTTTACATTTAACAACTTGTTCTTGGCCATTTGCAGCATGGGGTATGGACATTATTGGTCCTTTTGTACCTCCATCTTCAACAGGATATCAATACATCCTACCTGCAACTGACTATTTTTCAAAATGGGCAGAGGCTGTGGCTTTAAAGGATATAAAAAGCACAGTTGTCTCCGAGTTCATCCGAACCCATATCATTTACAGGTTTGGGATTCCAGAAAGTATCATGCATAATGGACAGCCATTCAGGAGTGATGCTTTGAACAAGTTATTTGCCAAGTACAAAATCAAAAACAACCATTCATCAAGATATTATGCACCTGCCAATGGTTTGGCAGAAGCTTTCAACAAGACATTGTGCAAAATTCTTAAGAAGATGGTGGATAAGAACAAAAAAGCTTGGCACGAAAAGCTACAAGAAGCTTTGTGGGCTTATTGAACTTCGCACAAAACTCCTACTCAAGCAACCCCTTATTTGTTGGTTTTTGGAGGAGAAGCAGTGTTACCACTTGAGGTTCAAATACCATCATTACGAGTGGCAATACAAGAGTCCTTAACAGAAGATGAAAGTGCAAGAGTGAGGTTGGCTGAGCTGGAGACCCTGGATGAAAGAAGATTGTATGCTCAACAGAACTTGGAAATCTACCAACAAAGAATGGCAAATGCATTCAATAAAAGAGTGAGGCTTCGTTCCTTTAAAAAGGGAGACTTGGTACTAATGGTTAGAACACCCATAGTAGTCTCACGAAGAACCAAAGGAAAGCTTGAGCCCAAATGGGAAGGACCTTATGTGATTGAGAAGGTTTATTCTAATCGGGCCTATTTGTTGATAACGATGGATGGTGACAGAATCATTCCCCCGACCAATGCAAGGTTCTTGAAGAGATATTACGCTTAAGAAAGCCTGCTAGGTTGAAAACCCCAAAGGGCGGCCTAGGCAAAAGTTAGGGCAAAAAAAAAAAAAAAAAAAACCAACGGTATTGTATGTGGTTAAACTGCTAAAATACCTCACCGAAATCTAAGGTGATAAAACATTAGATACTCCTGGCCCGCAAGAGTATAAACTGTGTACGGCCAAACAAAAGTCAAACCCCACCAACAGTATTGTATGTGGTTAAACTGCTAAAATACCTCACCGAAATCTAGGGTGATAAAACATTAGATACTCCTGACCCGCAAGAGTATAAACTGTGTACGGCCAAACAAAAGTCAAACACCACCAACGATATTGTATGTGGTTAAACTGCTAAAATACCTCACCGAAATCTAAGGTGATAAAACATTGGATACTCCTGGCCCGCAAGAGTATAAACTGTGTAAGGCCAAAATAAGATAAATCAATGTATTGTATTGAGAAATTTCATATAAACAAATAAATCTATTGTATACGGCTAAAATAAGACAAATCAATGTATTGTATTGAGAAATTTCATATAACAAATAAATCTATCATTGAGCGAAATTTCATAAATACATTATGTTCGGATGAATAAAAAAATAAAAGTGCATTCATTCATTAAGAGAAGCCTTAGCCCTTTCAAAAGCACATTCCACAACACTGTGTTGTCCATTCTTCTTCTTGTGTTGGCTCAAAACATTCAGAGCAATTTGCACGTCTTCTTCTGATTTAGAAACACTCTCGGAAGCTTGTGCAAAATCACACATAAAGGATGCATGTTCCGCTTGGTTGGATGACAATTCCTCTTCAAGTTGTTTAAGTAACTCTTTAGTTTGAATAATCCTTTGATTAAGACCCGCAATGTGCTCATCCGACTTGATAATTGAAGCAGACAATTGTTCATGTTCGCCAGAAACTTTGTCGAAATGAAGCTTCTTCTCATAATATTGGGCCTCAAATTCTGCAGTAGACAAGTTTGAAGAATCTGCAAGTTGGGTTTTCAAAGCAAAGCACTCAAGGAATATCTTAACCTTCTCATGAAAGGAGATGAAGTTTACACCCAAACTCTTCAAAATCATGAAAACGTTGTTTGCTACAGCAATCATGCCATTAACATCCGTCATTGATTGGAGGGAAATAGTAAGACCTTTCTGAATATGGGTGGCTACTTCGTTAGAAGAAGTTCCTAAAAGAAGGTTAGATGGAGCAAAGGGTGCTTCAAGTTTGCCAAATAATTTGTTAACCCCATTTGCTTCAAGTAAGTCTGCAAGAATTTGGGCCTCTTCCGAGGTATCAGAAGTAATTTCGTCTGTCTCTTCCAATGTGTCAGAAGTATTTTCTGTGAAAAATAGAAGGAGATACTTAATGAAAACGCAGAAGGTAAAAGCAATATATATATATATATATAGATGAATGAAGTATACCTTGGTGTATGGCTTGAAGAGACTTAGGTGGATGAGACAAATTCTGATTCCCACAAGTGGACCATGGATTTTGCAATGTGGCATGATCTAAAGAGAAAAGAGTTCCTTGAGTATCTATACATGATGAAATAAAATTAGGTACAAGGAATGAATAAGAATACCCTTAAAGGTAGCCAATGGCATATGCGAGGCAGCTGGGGAAGTTTGAGGCGCAGTGCCTAAGAAAATGAAAGGTATTAAAAAAAAAATAAAAAAATAAAATAAAAATAAAATAAATTTTTTTTTATACCTTTCTCTAATAGCTTGGATGACTCGTTCGAAGGAGAAGAAAAAGCTACATTTGCTGAAGGCGATTTACTCATCTTAGTCGGTGTGCCATCTAAAAGAGGGGTGTAGTCATAAAACTCATCTTCACTCTCGCTACTTCCATTGAGAGAACAATCAAAAGATTTGGTAGGAGAAGGAATTTCAACACTCTTAATGCGAATACGACCCAAGGCAGTTAATTCATACCCATCTCCCTCAAAGAGTTCTTGAATCATATTCTCATCTTTATCTTCAAGAAAAGAGTACAAGTATGTGCAAAATTGATCCATTGGGGTTTTGGTCGCTACAGTGGGTTGGGAAGTTCCTGTACAATCACTGATAGACATAGTCTCTGGAAAAAGCTTTGCGAGACAAGCAAATTGAGGGCCAGAATCTACTTGCTCAAAGCTAAATCTCATTTTAAATTGAGAATTACACATATCTTCGAAAAGATGAAGGAGATCTGAAACCGAGTAACTAGACCGAGAAGGAGCAATAAGTGGTCGACTATTATCCATTCTCTGAGGTGATGATGCTTCCAGAGCAATAGGTGAAGATGATGACCTAGCTCTAGAGTAAGAAGGATTCTTCGTCTTTCGGTCTTTAATTGACATATCCAGTTTTCTCTTGCGTGAAGATTTCGGCTGGGAATGAGTAACATATTGGAGCACAGTAAAGGAAGTTCCCAACCACCAATTGGCATAAGGCATGGTTACGTGAGAAATAGATCGGGATCCTGGTAACTCCAATGAGACTTTTGTACCGCAACGTAGCATATGGCACCAGTTGTAATAAAATTTAGACCACTCAAAGGGCTGCCGACAAGATACATTAAGCAGTGTAGGGCATGCTTGAGCAAACCCAAATTGACGACCATATCGGTTAGG